TATTATTAAAATAATATTAAACTAGTTGGATAATAACGATAAATCATTTAAAACTGTTTGGTTGTTACTATTTTTCTAAAGATACTTTATAAAAATACTGCTTTTCATATTTTTTTAGGTTTTAAAATGTTCATAAAGCTATAGAAAAACCTTTTTTTATACTTTTTATTTATATTATTATTTATTACATTATTTTTATTATATTATTTATATTTTTATTTATAAACAATACGAAACATTCTATTTGTAAAAGTTGAGATAATTAAGTTGTAAAGGTGTATTAAGGAGTCTCTTTTCTGTCAACTTATGACAGTTTGTTGAACTTTTTATTGATAAGCAACTTTTGGAACATTTTTTGCAAAATATAAAAAGTATTAAATATAACAAAATATAAAGTATTAAATATAAAAAAATCAAATCACATATCATAATTTTACTTGTCATTTTAAAACAGCTATAAAAATAAATACTAATATTACTTTAAAAAAGTTCCTTATATAATGAACTATGAATACATTAATTGCTTTGAGTAGAGATTTTAACATATGTAAATTTGTCATTAAGGAAAATTAATCTTAAAACGTGTTTTTGACGTCCCTATAGAACTTCCAACTTATATGCGTTCTCGCCCAAACTATATTTGTGTATATAAAGAATTTAAAAGAAATATACAAGTTTTAAATTAAGTTATGAATATAAATTTAGCAGTTTTTAAGTGCTTAGGAAAAACTCCTAACCCAGTGGGCACAAAAAGACGTCTTTAAAACTTCTTACACACGTTTTGAACGTCTTTTGAACGTTTTGGACGTCTTTTGAACGTTCAAAAGACGTCTTTTTTTGGTTCGTTGCCCACTGGAAAGTGCTGCTCCAATACTTCTATATTTTGTTGTTTTTAAGTTAGGCTTTCTTTTACCTTTCCACTAGATTTTATGCGCCTATTTTTTTCAGAGCGAATCTTTTCAATTTTTTTATATTCTCTGACTTCATATTTGCATAAGATATTTTTTTAACTTTTTTACTTTTTAACACTTGATAAGCCATTTAAATATAGACTGGAAAAGAGCATGGCTGAGTAAAAGTTTGTCTTTTTTTTCTTAACAATTTCTGATTTTTTGCCAATGTATTAGTGACCGGAACAAAAGTATGCAGAGGAGTTTTTCAGTCACTTTAATTGAAATGTTTTATGGATTTAATTTTTGTTGTCTGGTTGGTGATGTTATCCATCTAATATCTTTATCACCCAATAAACCAATATTGGTGTATATATAATTCTTCATGAAATAATTTACCTAGCGGTGTCATCAATTTGGGGATATCATTTTTTACTCTTATTTGTAACTGAATTTTTTTAGGTCTTCTTGACGCTTACTGATCTTGTAATGTCAATTGCAATTACTGGTTCGCTATGTCATTAAAATTTAACTGGTTTGCTGTATCATATAAACATAGCGGATCAACGAAGCACTAAATAGACGTCTACCGTCTACCTAAACACGCGTCGGCCTTTGTAAAATAAAGTTAATTTAAAAACAGAAATTACACTTTCTCCGGCATCAAAAGAAGAGTCACAAAATAAAAAATGTAAAACTGAATCATATATTTTTATTGAATAAAGTATATAATTTTTTTTGAAATGCTTGAAAGAATGATAGCAAAAGATGGGATATCTTTGAACGTAACATGCACTTCTATTGCTTGCTATACGTACGGGGTTGAATATAAGGCAATTTTCCAACATGCCCTAATCTTTTAAAACTGTCAAAATTGACAGTTTTTGTAAAAATTGACCTGTTATTTAAATTTACATCAAGTTATAATTTGAGATTAATAATTTCGGTTTAGTGAGAATTCTATAAAACGATCTCAGCCAATATATGTGCAATACTACTTAGAGCAAAACTCTCCATATTTGGTTGAAATTTTAAGAATAGAGTTGTGAGCTTGATTAAGGACGGTGCAATTGTCATGAAAATAATTATTACAAATTAATAAATAGCTATGCTTTGCTCATGGTATTCAACTGGTATTATTTCAGCTTTATATAATACATCAGCATCAATGTGTACGCAGAGACAATTAGTAAAGGATGTTAATGGTTGCATTGAATGTTTGGAAAATTAATTTGAATTTAGTAGAAGTAGTGAATCAAATAGGTTAAAATGAATATTGTTTTTTAGTAGAAAATCGTATATTTAAAAATCTGTAAACGAAATAATAGGGCCAGTCATAAATAAAGTTAGAAAAATCATGTTTTAAAAGAAACTAAAAATGACGATTTTCTTCAAAAATACCTAAAAAAAAGATTTTGGATAAAACCTTTTATTTAATCAAACATTGTAAAACAATATGAAGCAAGTAACTATCAATGCTTGAAAGTTTTCATAACTTAAAAAATTGCAAATAAATTACAAATAAAAACTTAAAAAAAGTTTTCGAGCACAGTTTAACCACACCTCCGCCATTTAACCACACAGTTTAACCACATCTCCGCCTTTTAACCACACAGTTTAACCACACCTACGCCTTTTCTCCTCCTTAACTTTTTAATTTAATATATCATCTTGACTATTCATACATATAAATTAATACTTTTAAAAGCAAAACATGGAGTAGTATATTTTATGTTTATGAATTACAAGAACAGTATTAAGTAATTAGGAAAGAAATTTCTAAAAATCCTGTCTATTTTCAGTCTAATTTTTTCAAAAAAGTTTTACAACAATTATTTACACTAAAATTATCTTATTAAAAAGATTTGATTTTTAATAAATATTTTATTTCCAGAGTTACTAGTTAAGTTATACAACCATATTGATTATAATTTGGACAGTGTGTCCATAATATCAATAATTTTAGGTGTCTATGTAACAAGCAAGTGTTTTACTACACATAAATTTTTAACAGTTTAACATTTAATTAACCTTAATTAGCGTTCACAACTACGGTTTAATCGATGTGAACTAACTTAATTATCATTCACAACGTTTTATTCGTTTTTTATCGTTTTAATCAAATCGATGTGACCTTACTATTAAATAAACAGTTTTGTCTTCTCATCAAAACCGTAAAATAAAACGTGAAACTTTTGAGATAATGTTCTATATAAAATGCCAAGTTAATTCATGCCGTGCTCATATTACTAGCACTATCCATATAACCCAACACTTTCTGTGCAGTTCTAATAATTGGTTGTTGTATAGATTTTTATTAGTCTAATTAAAAGTGTTTTTTGATTGATTATTTATGAAAATATTTATGTCACTTTTAATATTTTAGGTTATTTGTAAAAGTATTTTACCTTGTTTTTACGATTTTTTTTTTCCCACAAGTCGAAAAGAACACAAAATATTTTTGAAACTTTTTTGTTGTTTTAATTACGCCCAAAAGTACCTAATAAGTAAAAGCCCTTACGCCATCACTTACGCCATTAAAACCTTTATAAAAATTCAATTCTTTAAAAAGAATGATTTAAATTAATTACGTAATTGTATTATTTTTAAAAGTACTGAAACTAAGACAACGTTGCAATAAAGGAAACGTCTCTTGTAGTAATTTTTGTCTTGGTTTATATGATAAATAATGAAAAAAAAAAATTTTTTTAGAAAATTTAAACATAATTTATAAAAATAGTTGAAAAAGATAAGACTAAGTAGTGAGACAGAAGCATGTATTGAAAAGGATGGGACTAAGTAGTGAGGCTGAGGCATGTTTTCCTAAACTACCACCACACCATTCCCTATAAGACAACCATGAAAAACCTTTATGCGCTTATATGCCTAATTAAACTAAGCTGTAAATCTTTATCCAAAAGATTGTTAGCATATATAACGTGCAATTTATAACCCTTTTTCTGCTTCCATAGGATATTTGAAAAGAATGTTTTTAATGAAATACCATTGCATTGTTTAGATTGCGTTAGTTGATTTTTAATGCTTTTAATAAAAATAATCAGAATATGTAAGAACCATTCAAAAAGATAAGTATAAACTATATGTTAACTTATAACTTTACAAATATATATATATATATATATATATATATATATATATATATATATATATATATATATATATATATATATATATATATATATATATATATATATATATATATATATATATATATATATATATATATATATATATATATATATATATTTGTATGTGAGTATGTTTTAATGAATGTTTGTATGTTCTTTATAAATTCTTATACCATTTTGGAAGTTTTAAAATCATTTGTTTTGCCAATGTAAAACTTTAAATTTTTTACTTCTATAATTTTTTTACTTCTATAAAATATTTTTTACTTCTATAAACTTCTTTAAATCCCAAGGAAATACAACTTGAATTTGGCAGGGTCAACAGATTTTAACAAAAAAAAGTATATTCCGAAATCAAAGATCTGTACTTCATATGAAGTCTATCTATTTACCGTGGTCTTATAGATAGTATGAGCCAAATTCAGTAAAGATCGGACGAATAGCATAGGAATGCACAAAGGACATACGCACATATATACAAACATACAAATATATATACAAACATACGAATATATATACAAACATGTTTTTGCATATAGATTATTAATATAGGCTTAAAATTTTTTTTTAGATAACTATTCTCAAAGTTCTCATTTTGATGAAGTTTCAGAAAGCTTACAAATTACAAGCAAAAACTTTGAAGAACACGTGGCTCAATTAAAAGCTTTTAATGCAAAGCGTAACGAAGAGTCAAAATTTTGGGAACAAGAAATTAGAGAATTAAATAAATTTTATCGGTTTTAAGCTAAAATGTTATTTAATTCCGTTTGTGATTTGTAAATATTTTAGTATCCGTTCTTTGTTTTTTTCGGAAATAGAAGGAGGTGGATCTTTTTATGTCAATAAGAAATGCACATTTTTGTTTTTACAAGTTTTATTTTATTGATAAATATAAAATTTAAAGTTTAAATAATATTTCTATATATAAAAAAAATCTTTTATGCATCGAATTGTATTAATAGCTGAAGTATTTAGTATACCAATATAATAAATATTATTGCATTTATTGAAATACATAATGGAAAATTCTCCATATGATATTTCCTGTTTGAGAAAAGCCGGTTCGTTATCATGTTAATAAAATTAGACGATTCTATGATACACGGAAGGAAACATGAAAATAATGAAGATGATAGGTAATAAATCTTATTAGTGAGTAATTTTGTTTTTAATTTTAACAATTCAAAATTAAGAACTTTTTATGATGTTTTTAATTGACATATCTTACCTAAAAATTAACAAATTTTAAGTGTGATAAATAAAATTTTTACTGAAAAAAAGTTTGTCCGACAATTAAATTGATTAACTTTTATTTTTCAAAACGGTTGAAACTAAAAGTTAAGTAAGATGGTCATTTAAAGGTGTTTTTAATTCTTCACAAAACCGAATATTTTGTTCTTAAAGAATATCGAAATTCGTTCGCATTTTCTATCATGGACAACGTACCTAAGAAATTTATTTAAAACAATGTTTATTTAAAAGGTAAAAACAATGATTAAATAAACTGTATATATATATATATATATATATATATATATATATATATATATATATATATATATATATATATATATATATATATATATATATATATATATATATATATATATATATATATATAAACATATATATAAAAGCTTTAACTTATAATTCATTTACAATGTTTCATTATATATTCACACACACATACACATACGCGTACTCGCACACATATATGTATTTATGCATATAACATGGGTGCGTACGCAAACTATATTTATTACAAAATATGCAATATACAAAAGATACATAGCAAAATAATTTAAAAATTTAAAAAGTTCACAAACTTTAAAAAAGATTCAGAAATGAAAAAGATTCAGACATAAAAAAAGATTCAATGAAAATATTCAAGTATATAATTGTAGTAAAATAATTATCTAGACTTAAGCTAAATTATAAAAAATAGCTAAAAAGCATTTTTCGTTAGATCACGGACTATGCGTAAATTGAAATCACAATTATTTAAAATTTGAATTACTAATCCATGCTTCAACTGTGACCCCATCCATCTATTATTTGAGATCTACACAGGCAACAAACAACGCTCACCAAGTCATTTTTTAAAATCTTTAAAAAAATCAACAACATTGCGTACTTTGAGGAATTTTTGACATTCTTTTTACTTTTGGCCAGATTAATGTGTTTTCGTTTCATTATACTTTCAGACTTAAAAATACTTATGATGCGTGGTTTCACTTATATTGCTTAAAAAAAAACCTTTAATTTTATTCTTATTTATATACAGGAAAAAAACTTATTACTTTTTTAACTTAGTCTTTTTATTTGTAATTTTAGTTGTAATGATCAAACTTTAGTTCTCGTTTTCCGCATCATCAGATTATTAGCTTAAGCTTTCATATAATTATATACAGCCAAACAACGAATTTTTGTATACATACACTTGCAATCTCTGGGTAATTTTTTAATAAAAAAAACCCTTTATTGTTAATTATAATCGCAAATGACAAAAGAAAAAGAATTTTTTGGAAAAAATATGAATTCTTAGAGAACCTCATATTTCTCCACGTTCACACTTGAAAGAAACTTTTAAATTTTCAAAAATTATTGGCAAAAAGTAATGATATTAATTTTTATATTAGATTTTTTTTTAGCTTTAAAGAAAATGCTACCCTACTCTCTCCACATTTTATTTATTGTGGAAAAACAATTTTCTTGCTTTTTTTTACAACGTTTATTAAATAAACAACTTTTTTTGAACTCCAATATTTAAAAGTGTTTGTAATATTAAGTTCTATAACATAAATTAAATCTCCTATATATGTGAGATATGAGATTAAATCTCCTATATATGTGAGATATATATCATAAATTAAATCTCCTATATATGTGAGATATGAGATTAAATCTCCTATATATGTGAGATATGACATAAATTAAATCTCCTATATATGTGAGATATGAGAATAAATCTCCTATATATGTGAGATATAACATAAATTAAATCTCCTATATATGTGAGATATGAGATTAAATCTCCTATATATGTGAGATATAACATAAATTAAATCTCCTATATATGTGAGATATGAGATTAAATCTCCTATATATGTGAGATATAACATAAATTAAATCTCCTATATATGTGAGATATGAGATTAAATCTCCTATATATGTGAGATATAACATAAATTAAATCTCCTATATATGTGAGATATGAGATTAAATCTCCTATATATGTGAGATATAACATAAATTAAATCTCCTATATATGTGAGATATGAGATTAAATCTCCTATATATGTGAGATATAACATAAATTAAATCTCCTTTATATGTGAAGTAGATAATATCTCGCTTCAACAATAAACTTGAATGTTTTTAAACTTAAGGTTGATGATACTAACACATTCATTTTTTTATTTTTTTTATTTTTGTAGCAAATGATGTTTTTTTATTTTTGTAGCAAATGATGAAACACGATCTTATTTATGTGAATCATTTTGATTATAGAAACCATTTTGATTTTAAAAACTTATTACTATATACTACTGATATAAATAATTACTAAACTGAATAATTATTAAACTTTAAGGAACATTCAATGCAGTTGACTTGAAAAATATTTTCTAATATAGTATTGCTTTAGTTTATTTAAGAACAAAATTATTTTTCTGACTTTTAGAATATTCAGTTTACTTGGTACATCTGCTAGTGGACCTAGAGGACCACAAAGAAGGTACAACGAGTTTAAAATAATAGGTCCTTAAGCCAACCAAGTAAAAATTCTTCTAATTGACATACTATTGTGTTTCAGGAAATTATACTGATGAAAGTTAATTATCATAACGATGTCACCTTATACCAGTTTCATAGTTTTTAACAACTCAGCGGCGGTGTATTTGTTAAAAATAGCAACCTAGATACACCTAAATTGTTATTTAGGTGTATCTAGGTGTATTCTTGTTTAAACTGATTATGATTCTATGTTTTACGCATTTAAGGTGTCGTATTTTTTTCCTTGATGCTTCCATTGCACCTTCTGCTTTTTTAAACATTGTGTTACCATTCTTTCAGATATTTCACAAATTGAAAAAAAATATCTACAATAGGAATGCAAATCATTAAAGTAGACAACCGAAGTTCTATTATTTACATTTTGATTTACCCAGTAAGGACAGATCGCTTTTGAAACGTTTAAAAAGCGTTAATATTCGTTTTTATAAGTTTTTTAAACGTTTTAAAAACGTCCCGTGCTTACTGGGTAGTAGGGCCGAAGGTTTTAAAATTATGTTATGATTTTTATATCTTTAAACATCAATACATTTTAATTTAGATATGTTAACTATGATTTAAGAAAAAAGCAGTTTAGCAAAAAGACTTTGAGCAGTCATTATTCTTGAGCAGCTTTGGAATAAACCATCTTTTTGTATATGAGTGCAAATATTTAAGTTTTTAAATTTATTCTAGTTATACTTTAACCACTTTTTATATAACTGAATTTAATAAGTTACTATAGTTACTAATTTAATTAGTTACTATATCCTTTCAACTATAAACAAAAGCAAAAATAACCAGGAAAGCTGTTTGAACTTTTTGGCTTAAAAATGAACGAAGATCAGATACTGTTTCATGTAATTAACTACGTGGTAATACTTACCCACCTAAGTTATTTTTTTAGGGTGCGCTCCTAATGAATTATATTTATCAAATTAATTAGTACTAATATTTTATTACTTTTATTTATTAGTTTAATAAATTTTATTTAATTTACAAAATGACTCTACAATCTTTTCATCGTTAGTTAGTTGTATGCTTATATATATATATATATATATATATATATATATATATATATATATATATATATATATATATATATATATATATATATATATATATATATATATATATATATATATATATATATATATATATATACATATATATATATATATATATATATATATATGTATATATATATATATATATATATATATATATATATATATATATATATATATATATATATATATATATACACGTAAACAGGTTTTGCCAAATCAAATAATTCTATGCATGCAATTAATCAAATTTTTAAATAATAGTCTTTATTTTTAAAAATAATAATAGTTGTTGTGCAACTATGTAACTATGGAACTTTGTATGTAACTATGGAACTTTGTATGTAACTATGGAACTTTGTATGTAACTATGGACTTTGCCTTGTAATTGTATCTAACAATGTATAAGTACATACATAAATTTAGAATTGGTGACCATTTAAAATAAAATGTCCCACAAATTTTGAAGGGTTATCAATTTTTCATGATAAATACTTGAACACGAAAAAAGATTTTAAATGAATTTTTAATAAATTTTAATTTTATTAATGAATACGGATCTTATAAAAATTGGCACCTCGTATTACCCTCTACATACCCTCACATTGGATAATTATAAGGCTAAAAAACAAGTTTTTAATTTAGTAAGTAAGTAATTACTTTAACTTGTCTGTTCAAGTTTTTTTATTCTGTTATGAAAAACTAATAATAAAACAGTTAACAGAAAATAATAATAATAATAATAATAAATAATAATAATAGCACTAAATATATTTATTTATAAATATATTAAATTTATTCTAAATATATTTATAGTAAATATATTTTAGATAAGCAACCTGCAGGTTATTTATTTAAAAAAAATAAAATAATAATAATAATAATAAAATGTATTAATAATAAACAATAAATAATGTAGATTTACTCCACTAAACTCATTACTGTGTCGTAAATGAAAGATAACTTACTGTTATGTGTATTTGATATAGGTGAAAATTTTTAGTTACTAAATTTAAACATAAGCTGTAAAAACAACAAAATGAGAAAAAAAATATAATTGAAAAATAACTTTAACTTTAGGCCAAGAATAAACGCTCTTAACTTTAGCCTAAAATAGACGCTCCTAATTTATATCGAGCATAGATGCCTCTAATTTAGGCAAGCAATAGTTTTTAGAACGATTTATTGTTCTTTCAAACTTAACGAAAGAGAAAGAAAATTTGTCTTACATTATCCACGCTAAACGCGTATGACTTTAAATATTCAATGGATTATTTTTTGAAATGGTTTACTTCGTTTGATACTTTGTTGACATAAAAAAATAATAAAGTATATTTTATTATATATTTTTTGAAATTCTTTTTTGTTCAAAGCATAATTTTTACATTTTTTTTCAAAAAATTTTAGTTTAAATTTTGCTTTTACATTTGCGGAAACTTGGTTTGATAAAATGGTATAAAAAAATTCTTGTTTTAAGCATTTAAAGTTTGTGGTGCTTAATATTTCCAAGTAGACGGTTTTTATTCCAAATTGAATAGATATTTTTACGGTCAATATTGAACTTCCAGTTCAAAGCTACGTCACTAAACCTCGTCTTTAAAGTCACATTAAAAAAATACTGCAATTAAAGATAGGACGCCAAAAGTCTCGTCTTTTTTTAAGCGCCGCTTAAATCCTTTTTTCTCCCTATGTCATGTAATTGGCAAAAGTCTATTTTTACCGACATGAGTTTATTTCTAACTCAAAGATCGTGTTTGATATTTACTCAGAGGACTGAGTACAACTAAAATTCTCTATATAAAAATAACCAGTTGAAAATAGAAAGAGGTTTCTTTTGTTTGCCAAACGGATTCTTCCATTCAAAGTTATAAGTTTTCCAAAAAGTTTGTGTTATTTGAAGAATTTATAAACATCATTAACAAAAAGAATTTATTAAAAAAGAGTTTTAAAATTTACTGTGAGTATTTTTTTCACAATTGTAATATAAAAATACCTTCTCATAGTATTGTAGTTAACAATTTTTTTTTTTAATCTTATAATATTTTATCTATATATTTGTATAATGTTTTAAATTAAAGTTAATATTTATTGGTATTTATTAAAAATTCATTTTATATTTATTTGTATTTGTTAAATTTTGTTAAAGTTTATTAAATTTTGATTTTATTCATTACGATTTTTTTAAATAATTGCAATTTATGTTATACATAAAATTCACTTGTTCTTTTAAACTTAACTTATTTATAATTATTTATAATAGTTTGTTATTTATAATTATTTATAATAATTTTTTATTTATTTATAATTATTTATAATAGTTTGTAATTTATAATAATACTAAAGTAATATGTTTCTTTTTACTTTTTAAAAAAGCAAAGTTATAACCTTACTTTTTTGGTTTTTAATTTTTTGTGAATCTGATTGTTTTAAAATAGGTGATATGATCTTAATATATAAATGTATGGCAATAGGGGGGGGGGGGGGGGGATATAGTGTGGCAATATGCATTTTTTTTTTTTAATATATGGTATACAAATGTATATAGGTAGTTTCAATGTGTGAAAATCTGCGTTTTTTAAAAAATTTTTACTGTTAAATGACAGTACAAGACGAATGCCAAACGGAAATCCGAGGAATCACATGTAACCCAACAATTTTTTGTTAAACATATATATTTACTTATCATTTTTTTTAAGTTAGAAGGAAAACTTAAAGGGTTAATTACATCCAGTATCATCTTTGTTATAATAGTGCTTTTTTTTTTTTTTAACACATTAATAGAAACTCTTCACTAATTTTTTTCTTTTTTTTTCTTTTTCAATTTTAATTTTATTTAATTTTGCTCATTAAAATCGAGAAAAAAATCAACAAAAATAAGAAACAAACACTTGAATAACGGAAAAGCTTTTTAATAAAACAAAATAAAAAAAAAAAAAAAAGAGAAAAAGGAAAAAAAAATTAATTGTAGTCGCCAAATTACATTTCACAAAAACAATAAAGTAAAAAAATAATATTAAATGAAAAAATTATTGAATGAAATTATTGAAAAATTTGAATATTGAATTCATTTTTTAAAATTTTTCGATTTTTGTAAAACTATTAAATTTTCTCGTTTTTTAGCAGTTATTATGTGTTATTGAGATTTTGCTTTTTAACAAGCAACACCTTGTTTTATATATGTTTGAATTAAACCTTGCTTTATATATGTTTTCACTTTCTAGTTAACTTTAATAAAATCTTCTGTAGTATTATTTTTGTTATTATTACTAATTTAAAAAAAAAAAAATTATGTTGTTTAAGTTAATGAATGGATTATCTAAAGTAATAAGTTAATCAAAATGAATGAATTATTTTACCAGAGGAACTTTTAAAAGCAAATCAATCCTCGTTTTTCTTCTTGTTAATAGTTTAGCTTAGCTTGGTCTAAGTTTAAATAAGAAAACTGCTTGTGAATTGACAAATATTTTTAAATAATTAAATAAAAAAATAGTCTTTTGCCGATTGTCAAATTTTGATTAAAAACTTGTAAATTTATAAAAATTTCAAAAAAAAAAAATAGCAAACTAAAGATTATAGTTTCTTTATTTTTTTCATTATTTTAACTATATAAAATTTTCGTTGTTTTTTTACTTTGTTTACTAAAACTGCATCATTTCAAAACTTTTTGAAGGTTATTATGAAAACTATTTTAACAGTTTTCATTATACTTTGGGTTATTGCAAAGTGTTCCAAAATAATATAAATTATGAAATATATATATTTTTTATTATATTATGATATATAAAATTATTTTTATAGAAGTTGCCTGTTGTCATTTTATGAGACAAATTAAATGATAAAATCTACCAGGCTAATCCTTAGATCAAGGATTTTACAAATCTTGAAATATAATATTAATGGTATTAAAAAATGAATTTTTTAGAAATTGATGAAACCTTCATGCTTGTATAAATTTGTACAACTTTGTGTAACTATTTTTTTTTTTCGAAACTATTACATTTTTTAATAATTTAATTATAATATTTACTACAGTATTAACATTTTTCTAAAATTTATTTTAAGTTTTTGAAAATCAGTAAAAATTTCTTTTTCTAACTAAGCTCTTACTAAAAAATAACTTTTTTTAACTATTACAATTGAAAACCATTAATGTGATCATTTAAAGTATAAAATGTATTTTTATTTAAAAAAGGTTTACGAGGCTTTAACAAGGGTTGTTTCTTTAACAAGGGCTGTTTCATTGAGAAATTAAAACAAAAAATACTTTAAGATTTTATTTAAAAATCGAAAGTTCAATTTAAAATGTACAACAAAACTAAGGATGCAAATTTGTTTGTTTTTTGATATAATTGTCATAAAAACGTAACAAGAGTACAAAAGATGGTTTTATCATAAAAGTCCATAATTATACTTTAAATAGGAGGGTTTTTGTCAAAGAAATCTCCTATAAGTATCTCAAGTTTTTTATTGTCAACAAAATCTGCAAGTAGAGTCTATTTCCAAAGCCGCCTTTATAAAAATTATATATTACCGTAAAACAATTCGCGATTGGTCTTTAGAAAATGACATCAACAAAAAAGATTGCAAATCAAAGTCATTGTGTTGTTTGATTGGTTAAACCATTTGAATGCTTTAATCGATCGTACGCCTCTTTAAATTGTTTTGATTGCGCACTTTTGTTTTTGAATGAATTGTTAGTGTTATTATAAAAAATAATTGCTTTTTACAAAGAGTTAAAAGAGAAAGAAGAAAAAAATCACTCGTTCTTATTTTTGACAAAATGACAAGACGACGTTGAATATACCGAGCATAAAACAACGTTGCGTATACTAAAACGATATATTATCTGACATAGTGAGTTAAAATACACTTCAAATTTAATAACTTTTATAAGAATCTGTACAATATGTGATGTTCATTCATTGTTTGTTGTATATGTTACAAAACCTCTTTATTATCAATTACTACTCGGAAATTTTATGGCTTCCTGCGACGAACACCGTTTCCGATAATCTGTACTAACAAAATATAGCTATTAAATCTTATGCTCAACATTGTTATGAAGTGTTGGAGCAATATTTTAACTTTATATTTTCCTTTAGCTTGTTGCGATACAAAGTTGAACAATCGAAATCTGTGCAAAACAAAATGTTTTTAAACTCTGACTTAAGTGCAAACGTTGTTCCAGATCCAAGTGTTTATGCCCAGGTAAGTTTTTTCATAACTTTAAGTACTTTATGGTTATTGCAATTTGAATTCAAAATGTCATTTGAGAATGACAAGCGTTCATTAAAAAAACAGACGCAATTTTTTAAATTCTTAAGATTTGTAAAAATGTAAACGAGTATGTAAATTAATTATGTAGTGAATAAATTTTTTATTTAACCCGTTTTAAATTTATGTACTTAAAACTTTTTATTTTAAAACTGTTGCATAAAAAAAAAAAAACATAAAAACAAATTTAAGTCAATGGTCACACTTAGCTTAACAAATTTTACTCAATTCCTGTATAGGAAGCCTTATCGATGGTTTCCATGGATGACCAATCATTATTTGATTCATACGAAAACCAAAAAGTTCCGGCTTGTAAATCCAATAAAATGAATAATAACGAGGTATGGGGGCAGAAAAAACGACCATTTGACGGTGAATTAGACGATTTTCATATACCTCCGACAAAACGATCGTTAATGAATGAAGATACAAAATCTGAAACTCAACAAGATGATGATAAAAGAGTCATAGTACCAGCTGGTAAGTTTTTTGTTATTAGTTTTCCAAAAAAAAATTATATTTCTTTTTGAAAACCTAAAATAAGTTACATTTTCCGTTGTTTTTAAAGATCCCATGTGTTGGACAAATGAACATGTAAGACAATGGGTACAGTGGGCTATTAAAGAATTTAGTTTAAAAGAGGTTAATATTGATGCATTCACAATGACCGGTCAATTATTGTGTAAATTTACTCGAGAAGAATTTCTCCGATTGGCACCAGCATATAATGGCGATATATTAATGGCACATCTTTGTGTTTTAAGAAAAGGTACTTTAATTTATACAACTCCAAACGATATTCTTAATATTTTTTTTTTATCTCTGTTATTTTACATATTTAGTTTATGTATTTACAGAACCGTGTCATTTGTATTTATTTGTTTTAAAATAAAACATTTTGCAATACGAGAAGAATTTATATGACGTAACTATTAAGCATCTGACGTACATATTGATAACAGCAAACTATTTATAATTAGAGTGTTTTTTTTTAGCACCTCTTCCGAATTTAACATCCGAAGATGTAGATAAAGCACTTGCGCCTCCCTTAAGTCATCACGCAAAAACACGTAAGTTTTTGACTTGAAGTTACTAATTATATATGTTTTCAAACCATCTTAATTTATTTACTTGTTAATTGTTTACTAATACTTATAAATAAAAAACATTTATAAAAAAAAAACTTATAGTAAAAATTATTTACTAATACTTGAATAATTTTTAATTATTATTTTACACGCACATGTATCTTTATTATAATTTAACATTTTATTTAGCATCAACCTACCATCGCACTAGTACCGATGTCGATAAACGACCGTCATCGACCGTCGGGGGCTACAATCGCAGTGTACCTGTTGCTCGAGCTGATGGTAGCGAATATTTAGCAAGTTGCGCTTATCAAACTACCTCTTCATCTGCATCAGCGTCTGAAAATTATCAGTGTAGTCGAGACTCTGTTGTACCAAATAAATTTGAAAATACCTCGCCTCCTTCACAAGTAGGAAAATTAGGTAAAAATTTTGTTGTTTCGGAATTTGTGTAATGCATATATGTAAATGTCTTCGGAATGTCTACAATGCATATTCATTTAATAAATATAATTATACTAAATATAATATACATATTATATGATAATATATGATAATTAATGCATATATTTTTAACTGTTCTATTAAATAATGTGTTTTAAATAGTTTAGAATAATTATTTTTTTAGAATTTTCTTCTTGTAACTCGCCGAAACCAAGCGCTCTTCCTCCTACTCCTCATGGAGGAACGGGGCAAATTCAGCTTTGGCAGTTTCTACTTGAGTTACTTGCTGATCCTGCAAATGCATCTTTTGTAGCTTGGGAAGGTAACAATGGTGAATTTAAGTTAACAGATCCCGATGAGGTTGCTCGGAGGTGGGGAGAGCGAAAAAATAAACCAAACATGAACTACGACAAGTTAAGTCGTGCTCTTCGATATTATTACGATAAAAACATTATGACTAAAATTCATGGGAAACGTTATGCATACAAATTCGATTTTCAAGGTCTTGCTCAATTAAACCAGCCTATTACTTCGGACGCTCAATTGCATGCTGCGCAAGCAGCTGCGGCTGCATACAGAGGCGAATATCCTTTTTACAGTACATATGGACCAGGACCCAGTAGTTCCCCGTACGGGTATCCTCCTACAAATTATCCTCCTTGCTATTCTGCTGTACAACCACCTCCAAATACTTACGGATCTTCATACCCTAGTTGGGGTCGAACTTACCCTCCCAGTATGTATAGACAGTCTTCAGTTCCGTATTTCTAATAACATTTTTTGTACAATATAATAATTTTCATAAATTTTTATATGGTTTGTTGATTTAACATATATTTATCACTTCGTTTTTTGAGGTAAACAGAAATTTTTTTGACAAGAATGTGGGAGGTATATTTATTTTCAACAGTTTATATATATATAGCACACGATATTTTTATATAAATAATTATTTGGATACGTTTTGTGTTTTAAAAAGTTTACTTTTTTATGAGAGAAATTTTCAAAGATTTACACATTTTCATACTGGGAATCAGTTATTAAAATATTCTTGGCTAGAAAATTAAATTTAAGCCTTAATAGTGTTTTTTTTTCTTTATTTTTTATTTAACTCTTAACTTTTTTTTAATTATATTTATAAGTTGCTGAAATTAAAAAAGTCAAAGCAGTATGAATTTCTTAGTTAAATAAGATATTTCAAAGTATATAATTTTCTCTTTTAAAAGTTTTACTTTCGTACCTTTTAAAATACATACACAGTGCTGGCTTAAACGGTTTTATTTATTAAAGGTCCTAAATAATACAAACTGTACAACTCAGGAGCTTTAACGCCGATAGGGCTCCTGAGTTGTACAAGTACTCTGTTTTTCACACATGAACATATACATAATAATATGTTATATATATATATATATATATATATATATATATATATATATATATATATATATATATATATATATATATATATATATATATATATATATATATATATATATATATATATATATATGAATGATATATTTTATGAAACAGATTTTTATAGATGTGTTATAGAAGTCTTCATAGCTTTTCATAATTTCCAAATATTATTGGTAAATATTTGCATAGTAGAAAAATATATGATATAATTATATTTTCTTTTTATATGATATCCAAGTTTTTTTCTTTATTTAGTTTTAATTATTATTGGATTAAGGTTATTTACACAGTAAATTAAATTAAAAACTATTTTTATGTTTTTAAGTGTTTTTCATCTTCATATTTTTTCTATATTCTTCTGTATTGTTTTGCTGTTGAATTATCCGCTTCCGTATCACAGGATGATGGGAGGAGCATATTGTGTTATTTTGAACATTTTTTAATTATTGAAAAATAAAAATAATAACTTCCACACGATGAATTTAATCAATAATATTTTCAAAAATTGATATAGACAATTTAAAATAGGTTGAATTTAAAAGCATAAATAAATTATTTTTACGCGAATAATCTTTTAATTTTAACAAAAACTAATTGAAAAGAATACGGTTAATTTGCCTTACTGCTAATCAAATATTGTAAACCAAAATATTTCGTTTGAAATAATTTCTTTATACCAAATTTATATCTTTATTTAAACTATATTGGTTGCTGATTTTATCTTCAATAATTATGCAACGGTTACAGTAGCAATAAGTTCATTTGGTTACGTAACTTAAAGTTACTTAACATCAAAATTAAAATATTTCTTTTGATGGTACGGAGCAGCTAAATTTAATCTGCGGACTATTTAAAAGATATGTTACTTAGCTTCAATACAGTAGAACCGCATATTTCGGATTATATATTATTTAACACAATAATTAACTCAAATGTTTGTTAAAAACGGAGATGATTCTAACTTTCTGTAAACTATTGTTTTGGTCTTAAATATAGACATAGATAGCATTATGGTAAAGGGCAACATCAATCCTTATTTTATAAACATGCGAAAAAGTATTAAACTATCTGGTTAAATGTGACTTGTTAAAAAATGGAGAAAACCTTGTGATTTTGGTATATGCTTGACATATAAAACCTTGTGTTTTTTGTCAAATTAAACCTTGTGATTTTGGTATATGTTTGTCACATAAAACCATGTATTTTTAGCACATGTTTATCATACAATATTTAAGTCTCGGTTCTTAACCCTTTATTTCCAAGTGATGTCATATGGTGTCATTGACTTCATATAGCAAAAATAGACATTATGCTAACTATCTGGGGGCAAACCTTTGTGTTTATAAGTAAAAGTAGTGTTTTTACGAAACCTTTGCAAAATGTCACAGTTATTTCCTCCACATGGTTAACATACTACGTATTTTTGCTATGTTAAATCAATGACGCCATAAGGCATCACTGAGAAATAAAGGGTTAAAGTTTTGCACGAACACAAGTAACGAAAGTAAAGTTTTGCACAAACATAAGTAACGAAATTAAATTCAAAACTAAAGACTTAAAAAACGAAAGGTGCAGCAGTTGACTCTCTAAAAAAAAAATTTTGAGAGAAGAGAAAAAAAAAACTTTGAGAGAAGAGAAAAATTTAAGCATTTAATAAAGTTTACAATAATTCCTTTCTCGTTTATCGTTTTTCTCCATGCAAACGACTATTGTCACATAAATCAGTTGGGAATGTTTTATAGAAAATAGATATTCTATTTTTACAATTAAAAATAGAACATCTATTTTCTGAAGATATTATGAACTTTTGCATTAAAATTTTTTCTTAGTATTAGTTGATTTGCAAAAAATAATATTTCATTCAAATGAGTTTTTGATTAGTTTTGTATTGTTTTAAATGAAAATATATCTTTCAGAATTTAAAAATATTGTCATCACCACAAATGTTTTCTTAGGTTACAACTTCAACCACGTATTTCATTTTATAAACAATAATTACGCATAATAAAATACTTTTAAGTTTATAGAGTAATTAATAAACAATAGAAATTTTTGCATTTTTTATGTCTCCTTCCCTGCAAACACATTTCATCATATCACAACTATCCCAAGTTTTACCAACTTATTTATGACTATGTTACATCAAAAATACGTTGAAAAAATGTGTTCCCTGGGTTGTCGTGGTAGCATATCTTTTAATGCAACTACTACGTTTAAAGGTCAACATCATGTTTCAAATAACACATACAAGTTATTTTAGCACGTTATATTCACGTTTACAGTGAGTTTTATGTTATAAGAGCATCTTTGGCGGTTGGGGTGTTTGTAAGAATCAAATGATTGAGTTTTTAGAGAGGTTTGTTCATGTGAATTTTAGTTGCCACCATTTTAATTATTTGTTTGTTGATTTCACCATTTTGACAATTCGTTTTATATCTCCACCATTTTAACAATTGGAAGTAGGATAAACGAATCCTTTTTATGAAAATCAATGATTAAATAATTTATAGGTAAGAGCAGCCGTAGCACAGGTTTACGTGCTCGCCTCAGAAACTAGAGATCTGCGGTTCAACGCCACCCCTGGCTAAGCTTTATAACATCTTTAAGGAAGTAGCGTAAACTTTGTGAGACTATATGATAAAATCGTAAAAATTTCTTGGTGCGCCTAAACAAATAAACAAACAATCAAAAATAGGGGCTGCATCATCTTTTCAATATTAAGATTTCTACAAGTAGAGTAGAGAGGGGCTAGTTGATCAATTTTTACTAAATCTAAAAGATCTCATAAGCGGGGCGTTGGCTTTTTTTACTATTTAAAAGATAGTTTAACCCGTTAAAATTTGGTTAAGAGAAATGTATGCTTTTTGATTTGTTTGAGAAGATATTGGTTAAATTTTACCAAGCTGCTCATCATGCTCCAACAGCATAAGTTTAGCAACTGTTCGGGGCAAGTTGAGCAATAAACGAAAAAATGATGCATGATTTGGAACTGGACAAATCATTAATAAAACTATCGTTAACAGTAAGCGTGTTTATAATTTATACATTTTATACACTTTAATGACACGAGAGAAGAGTATAAACTAAATAATAACAGAGTGTCATAAATTAGAAAAGTATTAATTGATACAATTATTTTGAACTTTAAAGCCCAATTTAAAAATTACAAATTTCAAAAGTATATAAATGATGCACCGCAAAAGTTTTTCTTATCAAATTTGTTCTTTTGTTCAATAGTTCTGTTTTATTTATCTTATTCAAAGCTGCTCAACTGACTTCTACTAGACAAGGTGACACATTAGGTTAGGTTTTAAAGAGAACAGTAAATCTAATGCTGTTCAACGAATTGTTTACTTGTATTAGAAAAAGTGGAAATCTGAAAACTATACTTTTAAAAATTTTGAAGATAATAGTTCTAATAATAACTAAAAGACGCCGTGTATCGTGTGACGCACTTACCTCAACTGAGTTCGAGTTACCATCCTAGTAACCTTGGTTACCAGAAGCCGTCGCGTAGAGGTTAGAGTTCTAATAATAACTAAAAGACGCCGTGTATCTGGATTGCTAGAATCTTATTGATCCAATGAATTATTTTTTGCTGCTAAAAAGAAATTATAAGATGAATCTAATGTTATTGCTGCCAAGAACGTTTTTAAATATATCAAACGCAGATAAAGAAAGTAAATATTCAGCAGACAAAGCACTGGCCTTAATAATTGATGTCAGTCATAAAAAAGCCTCCGATCAATTGATTAGAAGTGGAGCCTTGGAAAAATAATATAACATCTACCCCACTTATAATGATGTCAGGGATGCAAAGTTTAAGTGTTATCCTGCAAATATAACACTGGAGGATGAATTAGCTCCAGTTCTTTTAAAAGGTTTAATAATTCATACTTTGCAAAGAGTCTGTACAGTTCAGTAACTTGTGCTGAGGCAAATGATATTGAACGACAAAAGCAATAAAAACAATGCCACTCACGTGCAAGGCTGGTTTTCACGTGTAAAGCTGATGGTGCTACTGGCCAAAGCATTTATAAAAATATTTTTTCAGAACCTGACATGAAATGAGATTTAAGACGTAAAAAATCGTTGCTTATTATTTGTCTAGTCCCATTAAATTTAACTGGATTTAACAACAGCAATGAAAAGGTACCTATTTGGAAAAATTAAAAGTCATCATCTACAGCCTATTGCCTTAAGATTTAAGACTAATGCGGTAGTGGTATAGTGGTAGAGCACTTGCCTCATAAACGAGAAGTTCCAAGTTCAATTCCTACTACGTTTTTGGTAGTACCGCGCTCAAATTGTTTTTGGCGTAGCGGCCTTGTTCGTCAAGGTTCTTACTTCGAAGTTATAGAGTTGAGAAAGGGTTGTAAACACAACTAAAAGTTGCCTTCTCTAAAGT